AAAATAAGTGATTCAGCTGGATTCATTAATTTCTTTATATACATAAAAATCGATGAATAAATGTACAATATCAACAGGTGGTTCTTCCAAGTAAACAAAAGGCAAAAGAGTTACAGGCAATCACAAGCAGTTAGTTTCATTTCAGCAGACAAGCCCAGGCAGATTGCTCATTTACTTCTCAGAGCAGCAGACTGTTTAAGTTTCTGTTTTAATACTGTGTACACACTCATATCTGTTTAAGCTCCCATTGGCTGACTTAGTTGCTATGCCTATTCATTGGCTGACCTTGTTCCCATGTCTCTCCCAGTCATGAATTTTTTAACAAATTCTTTCAATCATATGTTTTCCCATTGGTCCATTTGTATATTATGTTATAAAGATAGTTGTAAATGTAACAATTGAGAGCAGAATTTCAATCATTGAACAAAGCAGGGTAAGGATTAGGTCATTAAACCAGATATCCAAGTGGCTCCTTTTTCAATGTTTGCAATTCTGAAATTCCTGGTTGCTGTCATTAAGCAATCTCCCTGATTATTAAGTGGACAGGGAAGCCAAACTACCAGCCAAAGTATTTCAGCTCTGCATTGAGTTGAAATTCTACCAGTAGGCAACAGCAACAAAAGGACTGCCAGCCAGAGGGCTTATTTCCCCAAACCTTAAGGAATGAATCATTTGGGTTCATCATGTAAGGGAAGACAAGCCATGTGGACCCTTGTAGATAACAACAAACACCTTGAATCATATTCAAAGCAAACCAAGAACCAGTGTACTCTGCAAAGTAGAGGTATTTCATGAGCATAGCAAGACATTACTTAGGATTTAACAAAAAGCTCATCTCAGATCACCACCCTTCCCAAATCATGCTCCACACTCTTTTGACTCCTCTGCCCAATCAGACTCTGCATCAGAGTGAATCTGAGCAACTTTGTCCATCATATAGCTTGAATAATATTCACAATAGATGTACCAAAGTACCCTCCTTAGTCAGTATAGACTGATTTTGATCTAACCAGAACTGCTGTATGGCTATCAGTGAATGCAATAAAAGTGAACAAATATCAAAATTTTGCCACCCATATCAACACAAGGTATTCCCTAAGATGGTTTTAAACCCATGTCCAATCAGACTCATTTTGCATATTCCTCCAAAGCCAGATCACATCTCAACCACCTAAACCAAAAACCAGGCCTAACCTGTCACTTCTCGTATGACTTAGTCACCCAACAATTTAAGACAGGAAAATGTTCACCATAAATGCCATGAATTGGTGAGGTGGCTCATATTCAATAGTACCAAATGAAAACTTGAAATCCCCAATTAAAGAAAATGAATCATTGATTTATTAAAAATGAATACAATAAAGATTAGATCTAAAAAAGAGTGGTAGTAATTGTTACATCATTCCAATTTTTCAATTTTGCCTCCCATTCAGAAGTATGGAAGCAAGTTCATTTCA